GGACCGGGACACCATCACAACATGACTGGGTCACAATCAAAACATGATCGGGACACCATCAAAACATGACCGGGACACCAGCGTCACATGACCCGGACGCCATCAAAACATGACCGGGACACCATCCGCCCACCAGCTCTGACGGTGACCCGACGGCGCCCGTCCGCCTATTAGTTTTGCAAGACCCCATAGCATGGCTATTGGGGAATAATAGCGATGGCCTCCAACCTAGTAGGGATGGCCTCCAGCCCAATAGTGAGGGCCTCCAACCTAATAGCAATGGCCTCCAACCTGAAGAAATGAAACATGTAATGTGGGACCACTGGTCATCAGTCGTTGTTAAGCGTCGCCTCACTGTTTTGAGCATCAGCGAATGCATAGATACTAGTAGCATTACTTATTACCTGGCCTTCCAGCCCAAAGATCTCGACTGCAGCTGGTGGTTGCCCCGACGGCTTCTGCCAACACTGGAATTCCTGCAGCACTAAATGCGAAAGACTCCTGGGGACACTGAATGATCTGACTTGGAAAGCACAAAAAACACAAGAAGGGTAGGACGGTAGGAATCCCAGGTGTTGATCTTCAAAAAAGCTTCTGGTCTGGGGTTTGGAGGCCAATGCCACGTCAAAGTTCAAGAAATCTAACCCAGGCGTGACCAAGCAGCGCTTCTCAATCCACTCTTCCTTGTAGTTGATGCCATGTGCACGAGCCTTCACATGCATAAAGAAATTATGGGAAATTCAACAGCTACTGATTGAAGCCAAGCCCAATCACCCAAGTGGGGTCATGTTTGACATCCCTGTCCAACACTACGGCCAAGGCACCACTGCCATGATCTCCTGCATGGCTGAACGCCACATCTGCTCCAGCTCCGGGACCTGCCAGGACTGGTGGACATCTCAGATGTGTGCAACAGCGGGATCATCGGCTCCTTCCGTACCTTCTGTCCTCTTGTCATCTTTTCTATCGCACCATCGAGAGCTTGTGGCATCTCAGTTTGGTGTGCGTGTGTGTATTTCTTACCATTCTTTCCTGTCAAGAACTGGCACGGGCTTGGCATCGGGGAACGTCGAAGAGTTCCGCAGTACAGCAGTGCCGGATCGCTGCAAAACAAAGCAGAGTCATCTTGTGTGGGGAAATGCCCTACATGGCCTACTGTATATAGCGGACATAAGTTAAGCAGTTCTATTCCCCAATTGCCTCCTGAATGCACCGTGATTCCTTGCCAGCACCCAGCCTGCGGAATCAGATTCTGTGTTGCAGTGGGCCCTGCAGTGGCTTGAACAGCAGTGGTGGAGCAAATGAAGGAGAATTTCTCCTCAGCGATTGTCTCCGACCGTTTCCGACCGTCTCCAACTCCACAGGCCAAACATGCCTACCCGGATGGATGTGCCCCTTCCCTTCTCATCAGAAAATGTGCCATATCAGATTCAAAATCATCTCAGCATATCCCAGCTGCATAGCTCATTCAGCCAAGCAGGCTCCACCCTCCCCAAGCTTGCCAAGGGGCCCAGCAGGCACACAAGGCATCGGGTTCCAAGTGGACTGACAGGGGATGTCTTTTGCAAGGACCCCATGGGGACCCCTTATATGCCTCATCTTCAACTCATGTTCACTCAAGCCTGAGATTTGACAGGAGACATGATGTGAGATACTGTAGACGCCAAAGAAAGAAGAAACAGCAAAATCAATACTTGGGTGTGCGTCCTCTGCAACTGTATCAGAACCCTTCACAAGGCCTCACCTGCAACACCCTTGCAGGCTGCAAAAATAGTCTCCAGCTGTTTCGTTCTTGCTGTTGCCTGGCCCTGGCCACAGAAAGCTCTTGGCAGTACAGAGCAAAAGGTCTTCTTTCGGCCTCAAACTCACCAAAGTAGACTGCCGGCGGGTTGGCTGCCCAATGCTTGATGAGGCCTGGCTCCTGCGCGTTGAGTTCCAAAGTCTAGTGGCAGCGGTCCAACAGCCAAAAACAGATTGCGAAGCTCCTGGATGGCCGCCACAATGTTGCACCAGCCGACCAAAGGATGACCCTTTCCCCAGGATGTCACGATTGAGCGTGCTGTGTTCATGCCATCCACACCATTCTGCAAAGGCAAAACCTTGGATGAAAGCTCAAGGTCGCGACCAAAAAATCACATGCAGGTTCTTCCACCCACTCTTGCCGTGCCCGCCCATGACCTAGCTGAGCAAGCTTTCTGAGGTCGCGACTACGGTCTTCTCTCCACACCACGGTGCACACATTCGCAAGCATCGCTCAACTTCCCAGGCCTGCCATGAGCTTAACATAGAGAATCTACTGTAAGTTGGAACATGAAAATAAATTTGGAATATCGAATTTAGAAACCTTTAGCTGCAGCTCAACCGGCCAAGTGTTTCCGGTCAAAGCACTCTCATGAAAACGCACCACTAAGAACTCAAGCCGACAACATTCCAATTCCAAGGCCGACTTGTATTCTCCCAGGGTGATTTGGCATGCACCCACCCTGTCTGCATGAGTGTCTCCTTCAGGTACCTACCTTGCAGGCCAGGACGATCACATCGGCATCAAATTTTGCTTCCTTGTCCAGCTCTTCGGTGTTCACCACCTGCAAGACTCACAATGAACATCTCCTCGAATCCTCGAATGGATGAACATGAGGGTGCATTGACATGTTTGACCAACCGTTGGACTGACCAACTGTTGGAGCAATCCCCCATGTTGAAACATGCATGGCAAACTTGCAATTCATGATGCAAATTTGCCACAAACCGGGTAAGCTCAACAAATGATGGAGCGACCTTAAACAGTTTTGGAGTGCAAGGGGTTTCTTGATTGCTCTGCGCTGAGTCGTGTTCGTGTTGCTGTTGTTGTCGCTGTCATCATTGCAGGCGTGGTTGTCGCAAATATGGGAGTGTGGCTGGCCTGCATGTTGTTTGTATATATTCGTTCCTTGGCCCACTGGCAGCTTCAGCCTACGAGTACCTGTGACACTGCAAAACTGCCCGATACAGTGATGCGGTGTACTTGACATCGCTGTTGTTGTTGCTGTTGTTTTTTCTTCCTCCTTCTTCTTCTTCTTCTTCTTCTGCTCCGGCTTCAGCTTCTGCTACTTATGTTTTTCCTGTTGTTTCAGGTGCTGCTCTCTTGGTTTTTGTTGTTGCAGTGGTGAAGTAGTTAGACGTTGACAGTGACAGTGACAGTGACAGTGGTGGTGTTGATGTTGGTGTTCTTGTTGTTTTGTCGTCGTTGTTGTTGGTGGTGGTGGTGTTCGGTTTCGGTTTCGAAGGCCAAGCTCCCAAGCGGCTTTGCACATGCTACGCATCAAAGGAGGCCCGCCACGTTTCCACAAAGCCGAGGTTCCAATGGCCTTGATGTCCAATCTAAGGTTTCTCGTCGCCAAATTGAACTCAAAATTGAAACCTCTGTCCTTCACTCAGCACTCGATTGGGAAAAGCTGCAAAACATCCACAACATGGCACTTCGTGTTCTGGGAGAGCTTTTGTGGAAATTGGTGGGTCTCTGAGGCCGGGATTGCGGATTGAATCCCCACATAGGTACCAACCCATCTTCATGACAGCCGCCCCGTAGTGTCCAGAGTTGGAGGCGCCTAAGCGTCCAACCGCTGCCACCTTCATGTATTTGCGCTCAACCTACTTTAGGCCCTCCACACCGAGTCGTGGGTCAAGTTCTTCTTGAATCAAGATGCTAGTGGATAGCTTGACGCTTCCCTGTTGGCCTGGCGGCGGATGAACGCGGTCCAGGAGCAACCAAAGAAGTGAGGGACATTGTGCAAAGGTGGCGAACATGCCCGAGTTCTGCAACCAGCTTGCCACTGAGTGAGCAGGCGGACAAAATGGTTATGGCATGGCTGTGGAGCGTACAATCACCGCCTGATGCTCTGGCCTGCCTTTTTACAGTGCAATCCCCAGGCGTTGCAATTCAACTGTGGCAGGAAACCAGAAACTGAGCAGCGTCGCACTGCTTGGTTCTGCCCAAACAAACAAAAGAAGAAAAGATTGAAAGGGATCGCGTGGGAACGCCGCTTCCTTGTGTCAACAATGCCTGGAGCTACCCCAATCCCCAAAGATGAAATGTCTGCAACGCACACTTGCCCACATCAGAGCTTGGACTGGAGCCCCACTAGATGTGCTGCCTGAGGCTGTCCAAGCTGGTTGCTAGGGCCCCACAATGCACAGGCCGGCTCTCCTTCAATGGAGTCTCGAAGGGGTCAAACGGATGAAGCTGGAGCTGATGATCCTCAGTTGATGCCTGGGCATGGACTGCTTCATCAACCCCGAAGGACACCTGTGTCAGCTGTCTTCTCAATGGGCTTGTTCACATGTTGTTCCCGCAGCAAAGCACATTGCAACAAGATTGAACATCCATGCATGCGAGCCCACGTGTGGTGGCAGAAAGGACAGGGTCTGCAAGTTGATCATCTGCTCAACTCCAGGAAACAACAAAGAGGGATGGGCATCACATAAGTGGATGATGAGATCTTGCCCCGAGGAAGACAGCGTCCGCACTCTATGCAATGATGTGCCATGCAGAAGCACGGATCTCGATCCTGTTAGATGGCATCCCAATGGCCTTTCACAGCTGTCACAGCTCTCTGCAATGCTTGGCCCCGAAGCACTTCGAGGTTCATAACCTGAGAACTGGGGCGGGCTAGGAAGTAGTCGCGTAATGTGCGTCGTTTCTCCAGTTGGGTGGGATGATAGTCAATTCCATCATCAGTCAGTAAGCCATTCCAGATAGCAGGGTCTATGGGAGTGGGGGAGGAATTAAAATGACTGGTGTGACTGGTGCTCGTGGTGGTGGTGGTGGTGGTGGTGGTGGTGGTGTCAGTGGTGTCAGTGGTGTCAGTGGTGTCAGTGGTGTCAGT